AAGTCATTTTAGAAACATTTTAAAAAGTAGGCAAAGCCAAACCTCTTTGGATAGATATTTTACCAAGCAACCTCTATCCAGTGAAAGTGCTGGTGGAAGTGAAGGAAAGAAAGCAAAAAGCAGTGAATAAAAAATTTTAAAAAATATATAAAACAGAAAAGTTAAAAAATTAGTGTTAAGTTATTTTTAAGTTATTGTTACATTCTGTTATGTAAGTTAAGTTTTAGTATCATTTCCCTTCTCCCTCTCCTCTGCCACCAGTTTACACCTCCACCGTTGTCTATCCTCAAAGTGCAAATAAAACTACATTTTTTTTTAAAATTATTATTCTATTATGGTTATTTATACATTTACAACTACAAAATGCATTTTTCAATGTTTTCCTTAGTAAAATTATTTTTTTAATGTACTACTTAGCTTTAATTTGAGTGTGTTTTTTGTGTTGGAACATATTATTTGGTTTTACACGTAATCATATGGGGAAAAATGATTCACCTTACATTTTTATGATAGGGTCTCAGTTTAGGAACGGATTAATTTCATATCCTGAGGTACTACTGTATAATAATTTTTATTATTCAAAATGATATTTTAGTAATTTTAAAACAAATTGTTTGTATTATTTTGAATAGTATAAAAATTTTGTACAACAGTTAATTAATAAAGTTGTGTTTTTAAACTCTAATTATTATGATCAGATAATTATAAAAATAAATATTTTTTGTTGGAAAAATTTAAAAATAACATAAATTGAAGACTAAATACAGATAAAATTTGTTGTCTTCTTACCTCCTTTTCAACCACAGGAACACAATTAACACTGGCAGAGTTAAGCTTTATTTTGAGGCTCTTTCCACCTACAATTATATAAATTGGTTAAAAGTTTCTCTAGAACCAGATTATTGTAATCCAATTCCAGAGAGACTTTTAATCAATTTACATAATTGAAGACAAGGAAGAACCTCAAAGAATGTTCTGCAATGTAAATTGTATTCTGATGGTTAAAAAGTATATGAGAAGGCAGTGAACTTTATTTATATTTAGTTTTTAGTTTGTATTATTTTTTAAATTTTCTTTATTGCTTTATTAATTTTTGCATAATTTAAAACTTTTTCAGTTCTTATTAACACACTAGCAGGCCCCGCCACGCGTTGTTGTGGCTCAAAATGTATCTATTATAAATGTGTAACACTTCCCCTGTGGGGGGAAATTTTTCGAAAAATCCCTTCTTAGTGTACATTCTCTTGATGTACCCTATTAAAACGCAATCAAAAATGCAAAAAACCGCATCTAAAATAGTATAATAGAAGCCGAGTTCTTCACGGTAAGCCTTAATCCTGTCCATCTCCCTCAGTGGGGGAATTTTGACATGTATATTATATAAAAACATGTGCGTATTCGAATGCAACATTGTGTCAAAATTTCAAAGGAATCGGTAGGAACAAACGAACATTACATTTTTATTTATATAGATAGATAGAAGATGATCTGCTTTAGTTCATCCTCAGAGATAAGCATAATGCCTCACAGGAAAGCAAACTTAGGTCGTCGTACTCGCGGAATTAGCACCATCTGTTAGACATAAAAGCCTTAATCCTAGATGGTATTTTTTAATTTATATGAATGTTTAACGAATAATATACAGCCTATGTCCACCCTGAAGATCCATTCTAAATATTGGTGAAAGAATTTTTGAAACCGGATGAGTAGTTTCGGAGATTACCCCTACATCCAAACTTACAAACTTTACCTCTTTATAATATTAGTATAGATGATCCAGAAATTAATGTAATAATTTTAAGAAAATTGTTCATTTCCAAATAAAAATAATTTATTGTAGATTTTATTGTTAAGCAGCATAAGAATAAAACATATAGCACATCTGTTGCTTTCTAACAGCTCTAGTAATTGCTATTTTATAACCATTTTAATGTTTTATAGCTATTGCTCTTAGTCATACATTACTGTTCTGTATGTGTTATTTTACAGCTTATTTATGAGCAAAGATTATTTTATTATAGGAACAAAANTATTCGAATGCAACATTGTGTCAAAATTTCAAAGGAATCGGTAGGAACAAACGAACATTACATTTTTATTTATATAGATAGATAGAAGATGATCTGCTTTAGTTCATCCTCAGAGATAAGCATAATGCCTCACAGGAAAGCAAACTTAGGTCGTCGTACTCGCGGAATTAGCACCATCTGTTAGACATAAAAGCCTTAATCCTAGATGGTATTTTTTAATTTATATGAATGTTTAACGAATAATATACAGCCTATGTCCACCCTGAAGATCCATTCTAAATATTGGTGAAAGAATTTTTGAAACCGGATGAGTAGTTTCGGAGATTACCCCTACATCCAAACTTACAAACTTTACCTCTTTATAATATTAGTATAGATGATCCAGAAATTAATGTAATAATTTTAAGAAAATTGTTCATTTCCAAATAAAAATAATTTATTGTAGTAAAAATTCTATTATTTCTCATTTGTTTAAATAAAAAGAATTTTTGTTTGATCAGTTCATAAATTTTTGTGATTATAAAAATTTGTTTAAATCCTTAATTTTATTAAATATATATTATTAAATTTATATATATTGATTTCAGATGCAGATAAGTTTTGTCCGAATGATGGATTGTGGCCATATATATTTTCCATTCAGTATTTTGTTCTTCTCAAATTAATTCTACTCACCTTGCTTTATGCATTATTTAGGTATGTTTTTATTTATTAAAAAACTTTTATTTTTAATTCTTATAACTTATAATACTATGATTTTTTAAGTGCTACTGCATCTAAACTTCAAATGGAAACAGATGCTATTTGGAAGTTTCAACGATATCAACTTGTGGTGGATTTTGCAAATCGTTCCTGTTTGCCACCTCCCTTATGTGTTATAAGTTATATATATATAATTTTTAAATGGGTACTTAAATGTTTGACCTGTGCTTTTTGTCAAAAACAAGATCAAGTGGTGAGTTATAAAAATATATTTACATTTTAATTATAATCTATTTAAAATATTTTGAGAATATTTTTCAAAATGAAATTATCAATACATATATAGGATGCATTATGTGTAAAAGCAGAAGACAAAAGTTCACTTTCTGAAAAGGATTACAACTATTGGAGACAGTTAGCCCAAGATTATCTTAGTAAAGAAGAAGAAAAGGATCGAGATAAAGATAAATTAAGTAAACAAATGGAAGCGTAAGTAAATACTTTCCTAAAAAAAAATTATAAATAATTACAAGTTTAACATTACTCTGGGATAGATGTAAATAGTCAAATAATTTCTAGACTGTAATTAGATTATTTACATATGAGCCATTTATTTTGAAAGTGGGTTAAATATATCTATCTTTTCCTTGTTTTAAGATATTTAAGGATTTGTTTCAACAAATTTAAAAAAATTGTTAAGCACTAATAGACAACTTTTATGTATTTTGTGATGTTAGATAAAGTAAATTTATTATCCAATAGTGTTTATCAATGTTGACTGAAGAAATTGAAGATTTTTGTTGTACCCAAATGGACTTACAGAATGTCACTTTCAGAATTAGTGAATTATTGTAAACATTAATTAAATGGCTAATATTTCAGTTCAATCAGTTTTATTTTCAATAAAAACAAAATATTATTATATTTTATTTAAATATTTATTCAGTTGATGAAAAATAAAGTAAAGCATTAAAATTATATATTTTTGTTAATAATTTTTATTGCTTTATATTTGTTTTGAGTTTATTCGGGGTTTAGCATTTTAAAGTATTCATGATTACATAATATAATAATAAACCCACCATTTCCTTAAATTTTTAAAGTTTCTTTTAAATTTTATAGAATTATTTAATATATATTATTAGAATCAGAAATATATTTAATAAGGATTTTAAAGTTTTTAAAAATTCCTTAAATCCTTAAATTGATATAATTGGACTATGTTTTTCATACAAAGAAAGTAATTTTATATTTCTGAAATTAAAGGGTATTGCACTGACCTTTTGCATGTTTCCAGCAATTTGGTATAAATCAGAAGCAAATGTTTTCGGCTTTGTTATGGGCTAATATCAGGCTTTTAACAGAGTTTTTTAGCTGAACTTTTTACCTACTTATGGTTTATACTGAATTGCTGAAAATGTGTAAAAGGTCAGTGCATTACCCCTTTAAAAAGTTCCAGCTGTAGAGAATATATTTTTTATTTCTGAAATTACTTGGGCTTCCTTGTTTTGTGATCAATCAAGAATTTTAAATGATTTTTACACTACTATATTTACACTATTTGAATTAAATGAGAAATACCTGAATATCACAAAATTTTTAGGTTTTCACAGTGTTGCTAGTATTACTAAATTTTACTAGAGCTAAATTATACCATAAAATGTTAGGCTATCAAATAATTTTTATCCGAGATGGATTTGCACCACTTTCAAAATAAACAAATTTGCAATACCATTAACCATCAGAACTTCCATTGCCAAAATATTAATGATGTTGAATTATTTTGATTATAGATTGTTTACAGATAAAAAGGTCATACTAAATTTTATCTATTGTTATCATAACCTTCATTTTTTCAAAAATGGACTTGCACCATTTTCAAAATAAATGGATCATATAATTAATGACTTGTGAATTACTCTACAGATAGATAGGCATAATTTCTTCTATTAGAAACTTAATTCAAAATTTTTAAAATTATGATTGTATTTTAACTAAAGTCATTTCTTCAGAAACAGATTTATAAAAATTTTAATAAGAGATTTGCTTACAGAGAAATTACTTTTAACTATATTGATAAAACACAGTAAAAAGATTTTCCGATTAATTAGTTTATATCAGTGGTTCTCAATTGCAGTTACCAGTCACATAAATATCAAGTTTTTATGGATTAAATTTCAACATGAAAAAAAAAATTTATATATGATAAGACATCAGATAGACTTTTACAAAAGCAAGGTTCAACAATATGAGACATAATTTGTTATTCAGAACACTGGTGTTTTAATAAACTTACTAGATTTATTTTAATAGCCAACAAACATTGGCAAATCTTTATTGGCTCTTTTGTGTTGTAAAGGATGCCTTTAGTCAAAAGATGCTTACAAGGAGAGATTATGACATGTTTTCTGAGATTTCAATAATAATGTTTGTATGGATAAGCCTTGGTATGAACCTTTATTGAGCAAAAGAAGAAAGTGTGCTTCTTGAATATTTATGAGAAAATCAAAGTTAAAAAAAAATAAATTTCTTAAAATTTATTTTTTAACCAAAAAAGTTTTTTACATTTGGGAATGTAAGAATATTATGAATAATTTAAGCAATAAATAAATTCAAAAAATCATTAGTTATAACTAACTTTCATTATCACATTGTTTACTACCATACATAACAATTCAAACATTTTTCAATGTCATTTCTTTTTTTTTCTTATTGTTTATATCGTAAGTATATTTCTTCTTCATAGCAAATAAAACAAGCAGATAGTAAAAGTAAATTAAAGTTATAAGGTAAGACTAATAAAATCATAAACTTAAAATAATTAAAGTTTGTTTTTAAAACTTCAATAATTAAGTTTATTTTTTTAACAGACACAATCAATACATTTTGTCTATTTATGAATAAATCGTATTGATTTGAAAAAATTCACTTATTGAGATAAGAACCAGCAATCTTGCAAATATGAGTAAGGCACACTGCTGCTGAACCAGATTGTCTTCATTGAAAGGTTTTGCAAAACCTATTCATAAGTTGCTTGGGATTTTTAACTTTTATTTTCTTGGAATATGTTTGAGAAGCACTTTTTTTTTCCTTTGCTCAATAAAAGCTTGTACCATGAGATCAGCTGAAACTATTGCAGCTGACTACATTTGCCTGAGACATGCTATTTGGCACAGGAGGACCTAAGACTGAGACCATGAGATCTGTGCTTTTATTGACAATCATGGTCAGATCTAAGTGGTTGGCCTAAACAAACCTCTATATTATGTAATAAAGGATACACCTTGTTAATTATCACTGTCACATGCATTTGAGTTAGTGATAATTCTGTTATTGTTAACAATATATTTATTTGAAGTAAGACTTTTAAAGGTTTTAAATCAAGTAATTTTTTTGTACATCTGAATATACTTTTACACTCAACAATTTGAACATTTAGAGAGAGAGAGAGAATGACAAAATGTCTCATCTGTGTCTAGTGTTTGATCAATAAGTACTGTTTAAACTGAAATTTTGGTTAAAACCATCAAATTTATAGTTGTTATTAACCCATTTGTAGACAAATGGGTTAACAATAACTACAAATTTGATATATGAATATACAGTATATCATAGTATATGAATACAAATTTCCTTTTGCCCTTGACGTGAATCTTATGATAGAAATTTTTTCACTTGAATGCAGTGAGGATTCCAATATACCCTTTTATATGGACTGAGTTTCAAGAAATTTTCGCACTTT